TTTGGCTACTATTTTTCATTTTCAGCTACTACTCTATTCCAGAAAAAAAATTAAAGAAAAAACTGGATCAGTTTTTAAGAACATTTATTTTATAAATTACATTAACTTCACGCGCAAATAACGCAAAACTACTTTCTCCAAAAAATTTTACATGACTTTACAAGCGTTTTCTGCAGAAAAATCGCTTATTTCCGCCGCATTGCAATACATTTTCTTTACTACGTAGTAAGGCGAATAGCAAAAAGCCAAAAATGCAATGAAAACATTTTTTTTTCAATAGGCACTGTAAAAAATTAAGATACGATTCCATTGCTCCAACAACATTAATTGATAATTAATAGTTTTAAAAATGAAAAACGAGGGTGGGTAGATTGCAGCTGCACTTGAATATGATACGTCATGAAAATGATATATGTCATGAAAAGGATGTATATTATGCTGCACCCTTCTTCACTGACCCGCATCGCTTAAGGAGTATCCGTATCGGATATGCGTAACACAGAGACTACTGGAAACGGCTCGGGAATCAACCCCCACTTAAAGCATTTTTATGCAATAGGCTTTTATAAAAAATATTCGCGGTTTTAATTACATAGTCTGTTTGAGGAATAGTCAACAAAAAGCTCCAGAGATTTGACGAAACATCACTTGTGTACAAATTTGATACTAAAATTTGTACAATTCGGTTAAAGCGAATTCACAAACCAATGGCGAATATTTATCAGGTAAACTGCATTTATATTTTGGCCAAAGTACATTTCATACGAAGCATCGGCTTCTTGAATTACGTTTTCATTTCAAAACATTAGTATCGCTTCTAACATACAGCAATAAAAAATGTGCCGGTGATTATGTTGAGAACAAGTTTCCTACCACACATGAGAAAACGCGTGATGAGGCATATGAATATTCGTATATCTCCGCAATTGTCAGGATTCGAAGCTTTAGGGTTCTTTTAAATTATCACTACTTTAACAACTACGCTGCAGGCAATTCCTTTTCATAACTTGCCGATCAACTTTTTCTCAGCCTGCAACTCTCGTGCACTATCAGCAATAAAACACGTCTAACTAGTGCCGGCGTCTCGACCGCCCGACTCGTCTCCCCATCCGCCCGAACTCGGTCTCCCCATCGCCCGACTCGCTCCCCATTCCGCCCGAACTCGTCGGTTTCCCCATCGCCCGACTCGTCTCCCCATCCGCCCGACTCGTACTCCCCATCCGCCCGACTCGTCTCTCCCATCCGCCCGACTCGTCTTCCCCATCCGCCCGGACCTTCGTCTCCCCATCCCCCGACCTCGTCTCCCCAATCCGCCGACTTCGTTCTTCCCCATGGCCCGAACTCGTCTACCCCCATCCGCCCGACTTCGTCTCTCACCATCCGCCCGACTCGGTCTCCCATCCGCCCGACTTCAGTTCTGCCCATCCGCCCGACTCGTCTGCCCATCCGCCGACTCGTCTTGCCCATCCGCCCGACTCGTCTGCCCATCCGCCCGACTTTCGTCTGCCCATCCGCCCGACTCGTCTGCCCATCCGCCCGACTCGTCTCGACGGCGTGTGCTGCTAAGACGTTCTGAGAACAGCGAGATGTGATTTGCCGCACGCGCGAATGTCAATATATTAGGTTCTTTTAACCACAGTATGTAGCGCCAGAGGTGTCTCAAAATAAATTATACATACATCTTGAGGGATCGAAGATGAGAAAGTTTTGTCAATAAACAAATAGTGGGAAGTTTCACACGCACATTGTTCTTGCCCGAGAAGGTTGAAAGGGACTTCCACCTTTGACGAAAAACTTTTCGCGGGCCAAAATAAATGGCATTGCGGACCGCGGGCCGCCAGTTGGACAACATTGGCTCAAACCGTTCGGAGATTTTCTCCAAATTTGGTGTTCTCCGAACGATCGGAACGAACTCGAGGCCCTGAAAGTTTGAAACGATTTTTTGATCTTTGTATTTTACATGAAGCCTCAAGAACATGTTCAAAATTTTCTCAAGAGGCTCCATTTTTTTCTATTACACTTTGGAGTAAACAAGGGCGTAGGTGTTATTTTCATTAGCAACTGAATTTTCGAAAATTGCAAAAGTCAAACTTCTTACAACGCCAATGATAATGAGTTTTTGAAGATAAAGATTTTTTCTCGAATAAATGCGTACATACTGTTCATACACATCTTCAAAATGGCCATGTATTCGTTTTTCAAAAGGAAAAATCGAACAACAATAGTTTTCATGTAATTTTTGCTTTAAGTTAATGCAATTTATAACTTTCCCTTTTCTCAAAAAGCGTATTTATTTTCTTTTTCAAGGATAGAGCAAATGACTTTTTAAAAAAAGTACAAGTGTCATTTTCGTTTATCTCTGAATTTTAGAAAACAGTTCAGTTAGGACTCGTGCGAGAAAACAGGTGCTGTTGTAGCACCACTAGTTTCAATGTCTCTTAGCAACCTTTCACTTCGGTAAGTGCCAATCGCAACTGTGAATGATAATCAGATCAGTCTGTAGAGTCGAAGTAGTTATTAACAAGCTGTAATTCGAGTAATCACTTATAGGAATTGTGTTTGTCATAAGATACATTTATTGTTCTTTCCAAACGCGAAAAATCTCAGGTTACAAGTATTCCTCTTTAACAGTCTGAATTCCGCAGTTGGGTAGTTTTAGTACACATGAATAAAGTTTTGAGGCAAAAATCACGGAAACCACTAATCACAAAACAATTCAGCCAACGAGTTCGATTCCGACAGGCATCACAAAGTCATCGTTGCTAAATGGAACACACTAATTTCTGACACCAGGCTGACTGGATACCTAGTCCATGACATGGCCCCGCCATGCCAGTATTACCCGCCTCGCGCAGTTTCTTGCGCGTAAACCCCTTCTTGATTTTGAGAGAAAATGAGTCAGGGAAGTTGCTCGCAGGAGCGCCTGAGGGGCCAGGCGGACAAGCATCTCGCACAGGCGCGGTTTGACGTGCCTGATTCACCATTATTTACCGTGAGGATATTTTAAACGAAAGGTTTCCTACAAAGGTTTGGCGCGTCCGGGCTCTTCAGACTCGTATCGCTTAATCGATATGATCAATGTCATGTCACTGCCGAGTATAAGGTATACGCTCCCTGTAGAAGGTAAATGATAAGAGGAATACGCATATTCGGAGAAGGGTGACATTCCCCAACAGACAATGCGGACCGTCGTAATCAATAACCGGTGCGATAGCCTAACAAAACAGTACGTTCTCTGAATAGGAAAGCAACACGCAAACGCCATAGATTGATCGTTTAGTGATGCCGGGCACGTCAAATAACAAGGGTCATTAGTCCCGTAAGTGTAGTGCATGTTTTCCTCGGGAGGACGCTGTGATCATTCTGCCGCTGTATGGCGAGATCCGGGGCCGACCTACCATCGGCTAGAGGGGTTTTCCCCAACCAGGTATCTCCGAACAGCTGGGTACAACCCCAGCTGGGACAAGCTCTAAGCTCCCTACCTGTCTCTCGGCATGGGCGGTAGTGCAGTACATGTTAGAGTGTGCGTGTTTAAGAGGGTGAGAATTAGAACAAGGAAGAAGAAGAAGAAGAAGAAGAAGAAGAAATCGCGCGCGATCTATGGCCCGTTTGTTAGGGTACTGCTCCGGCATTCGTTTGGTATTAATAAGAGAAACCACGGAAAACTACCAATCAGAGCACCTGGCCGCTAGAATTCTCCTCCACACAGCGACTCAATTCTACTTAGCTAACAAGCCATTGCCGAAAATCCTGCCACCGTCGGGACTCGAAACTAGGACCTCGTGGTCAGAGGGACTGCAGAGACATCAGTTGATGACCGGAGCCATCGATTCCGGTTCAAAAGCGACGGACGGCGCTCGCCAACGATTTATTGTCAACGCAACTCATGAATGCATAGCTGCGTTACGTTCACCATCAAACCAAGATACTTCGCCAAGATGCTAGTGGCATGCGGAGTTTGGTCTCCGAGTGATTGAATTGAACTCGTGATTGTGTGTGATTGTGATTGAACTGTGCCCCTCCGGTTATCTCAGTTTCCTCCGACGGGGGGAAAACGGAACCGGAGGAATTGGAGGTCCTGCGCGCGTAGCCTTGGTATTGGCTGGATCTGGAGCGCGGAGGAATGAATGCATGGAAAGTACGGCTGGAATGTCAAATTTGCGTAATACTTCAAAATTTCGCGGAGAGTGGAAACGTTCGGTCAGTGTGTTTCTAGCACTTGGACTGTTAAGTTGTGGAAATACGAGAACTTTCAGCATGTCAAAAAGGCATGAAGTGTGATATTTTGCTAGAGACGAAAGTATGAAGCAGGTGAAATATAAACTATGTGAACAAAAACATTTCTGCAGGCGGATCTCTAAAACTACTTAACCTCCTACGTCGATGTCCTAAGCATTCCCTCGGTGCCAAGAAGGTGCCTCGGTGCGCAGTTCGCCCCATATTTACAGTGACAAATCTGGACGAAGATTCAACTTTCTTACGAGTTATTTGATTTTCGCGGTCATAATTCACAAGGCGAGAAAGAATCTGAGGGAAACAAATTAGTCGGTTGCCAGCCCTACGAGTACTAGACGCGCTTGAAACCATCTCCCGGGGGCTTCTTGAGAAGAGCGAGCGAGTCGCAGTCACGGGGCGATGAGCGCGTTCACCAGAAGCCTTTCCCAACTCGCTGCGAGCTCAGCAACCCGTGCAGCGAAACCGCTTACAAGGCCTACGTGTAGCACTTGGGTAATCGCCATATCGATTACATTTTGACATTCTGGTGTCACAAATCTCTCTATAGGACGAAACCATTTCTTCTCTACGCTATGAGGAGGAGGGGGGGGGGGGGCGTCGGCATCGAAAACCTTTTATCCTATTTTGTGTAAGAATAAACTCCGAAGTCGTCAGCTTTTCTCGAAGTGCGTCCGCGTTGTGGCCGAGCTCGCAGCCCGGCAGCGGAGGGGGGCCGGGGAGGCGTGGAGGTGTGAACGCACCCGGGCGCGGCGTCAATTACTTACTCTCTAGCCGGGCCATGGACGGGCAGTGGCGGGGCGCTTGGCTGGGGGCAGGGGCGGCCGCCAGGACGCGGGGCGGCCGGGGCGGCGAGGGCGGGGGCGCGGGCGGACGAGGGCGGAGCGGCGTGGGCGAGAGGGCAGAGCGCTGCTGCTTCGATGGGCTGCTTGCGCCGGCTGCTCCGGCTCGCTGCTGCTGCCGGCTTTGGAACGCCTCGCTGCCGGCTTATGGCACGGACGCCGGTGTGCCCGCTTGCTGCCGCTGCCACCCCGCTGCTCCTCGCTGCCAACAACAGACACGCGCCTACGGTTCAGCAGGCCGGCCTTCGAGGGGCGGCGGCGCGCGGCCAGCCTTCGACGCCCGGCGGTGGGGGACGGACGCACGCACGGAGAGGGGGAAGCACACCTGGGAGAAAAACAAATCCAAGTTGCAAAGCAGGCGGCCGGGCGAACAAGCACACATGCGCCTCTACCTACATACCTACATTCTTTGCTACTGCAGTTCTAATACTAGAGCCCGTGTGGTCTATCTTGCGATGGGGAACTGGGGAATTCATGAGTATTGTGGGATGGTGACATAAGCATGACGGAGCAATACCACAAGGAGAGGCAGGGCCAACGGGAGAACTCCGTGCAAAACTTTCGGTAAAGTGATGAACACAACTAGTAAGTTTGACGGCGAAGTAGACACCTAGTGGACGGCACAAACGATTTTAATCGCTTTTAACCACTACTAAGTACATCGCCAAAGTGAGGATAATACCATATCACTTTTAAGATCACCGATCGATGTGTAATGATCGTCATACATTGATACAATAAGCAAGAAAAACTTGGCTTGCTCTCCACACCTCACACAGAATAACTCGTTGGGCGGATTTTGTGAATAAACATTCCCGCCTGAGATATGGCATAATATTCTCGGGAAGCAAATCCAATACTACCCAGACTTTTAGATAGCAGAAAAAATTGTATGAATAAGAAAAGTCGGTATCAACAGCTCATTGCAAGAAATGCACACATTTTTATCTCCTTTTCTTGTAGGTAGTGGGAGTAGAGACGGGGGCGTGTTACTATTTTGCCAACAACATATTTAAAAAATTTGATAATTGTTAACATTATACGTATGCTGATGATGCTGCTCTTTTGTACTCTAACAGCGATATAAACAATGCAAAGACCTACAAACAGAATTTAACATTGTTAAATGGTCTAATGAAATTTGTATGCTAATCCGGCGAAAACCGAAGTAATGCATTTCAAAACACGGACTAAACGTAAAAACTTAAAATTAGGAAAATTAACTCTGCGTGATTATCAATGCACGACCATAGTAGATGTAGTGATAAAAGTATCAAGAGTGACTATGTAACACATTACTCATATAGAAGTTGTTTTTAATGATTACTTGGGATATAACCTGCACACAAATTTCCTGTTCAACAAAATAAAAAAGATAGCTGAATGTATGTATTCAATTCACTTTTGAAAATGAACAAATTTCGAAAATCATATACACCTCTATAATCGAATCATTACTGAGATATGGTGTGCGTGCCAGGGGAGGTGCATGCCAAACATACTTAGGCAAATTGGAAAAAATACAGGCCAATGTGTTAAACATAATGGCTAAGAAGAGAAATCGCAGCCAGTGTGAGCTGCCAGCATGCGTCAACACTAACACCAAAAGATGATTCTACATGTACCTCAATATTATTCGGAAAATAATGCTAATAAATTCAAATTCGATGCACTAAATGGGTACAAAACAGAAAAGTCAAAGTACTAAATACCATTAACGTTCAACAGTTATAGAAAAAGAACTCTTAAATGCCTGATACCTAAACTATATAATCAGATACCCAAAGACATTATATGCCCAAAGCCCAACTACAAAGATTATAACATTAATTAAATCATGGCTGGACATATACGCACATACGGTCTGACAACCAACAACAGTGTGAGCAGGATTCTATTGTGTAACTTTGTTATATGAGATTTCCGGCCATATTCATCAGCAAAAGTTCTTCGACCCGCCCTACTTGTCCTGGATGGTAGGAATAATTAGTCATACTGTATATTCCAAAAGACACGCACAAACTATTGTCAGTGCGGTTAATGGTGTTTAACAACACGGTACAAACACCTTGGATACACACTTCTGATCTTGCAACGTTTTGTCCCCTCAATGTAAATACACTACACCGAGGGAAAGATGCGTTGCTCCTCATTTTTTTAAATCTAAACATTTCACTTTATACTTTAACACTTATTTCACAGCAGCAAAAGCAATCTGGCAAACGCGAAAATGGAACGGTTTTTCACGTCCTAATGGGGATGGGGGAAACCTTCATCAAACGGGATTTCTGTGAATTTAATGGAGTTGGCACCGAGAAGCGAGATACTCTTCATGGAATCAATGCATCTGAAAGTCTGTTTTAATATCTCTGTCCATGTGATAAGAGCTTCAGTCGTTGCAGCCGCACAGTGAAGGAAAGGGGCTTCAGCTGTCAGCATAAAATTCGACAAAAGATTGTCAGTGCGGTTAATGGTGTTTAACAAGACGATACAAACACCTTGGATACACACTTCTGATCTCGCAACCCTTTGTCCCCTCAATGTAAACACACTACACCAAGGGAAAGATGCGTTGCTCCACGTTTCTAAAATCTGAAAATTTCATTTCATACATTAACACCACTTTATAAAGCCTGCATTTCCTTCTTTTGAATGTTCCCATGGTTTGAATAACGTAGGTACGTTTGAGTAACGTACTTATAAGAACGTCCACAATTCTACAGAAAACCGAACTCTGATCGTATTTCACTACGACTGCTATACGTCGAGGACTATATAAGCGAGTATGTGGTTTTGTCGTTAATGCATTATGTGGATCTTTTGCATGTACCAATACACATATTCAATTGGATCTGCCCAAAGGTTCCACTAGGAATCTTTGGGGCCTAATGCGTACACACAACACCCAGGGAAAGACAACGTTGTTAAAATCTAATTACACTGACACGATATTGTGATTATCAAATTAAACTCTGAGGTCAACACTTTTTTCTCTATTCTTTAATATAACTACAATTTTAATAAAATAACTGATCTTTAATCTTCTATTATAATAAATGGTGGTGTTAATACCTCGACACCCGCTAATCTAGCGACACATTCCTCTTAATGTACACTCCAAAGAAGAAAATTTGCTTTACGGCATACCTGAGTATGACTGTCTATTGAAGGGCATTTATTTCGTATAATAATAATAATAATAATAATAATAATAATAATAATAATAATAATATCTTGGCTTCAATCCGAAGTAGATGCTAGCAATGAACTTGTGAAAACAGTGGAACATATTCACGAGTTTTCGGAAAAGGATATTTTCCAAGCAATTAAGAACACGGAAAACTGAAAATCTTTCGAGACTGATAGGATCCACAATTATTGGATTAAGAAATTAACCCCAATACATCTCATCTAGCAAAGGCTCTTACTAAATTTTTAGAAAATCCAAAGGAACTCCCGAAATGGCTCACATGCGGCATGACGTATTTGCTACCCAAAGCGGCAGACAGCTCGTATGCGAAGAACTACAGGCCAACACTTCCAGCACTGTATGAAAATAACAGACAACATTGCTGACAAATTATCCAGACACCTAGAGAGGAACCATCTGTTGCCAGTTGAACAAAGAGGATGTCGTTCAGGTTTGTATGACTGCAAGGAAATCTAGCTACAAAATAGTCATCTTCCTGAAATTATATTTCTTACTATGTATCCTCGCATCAGACGAAATATTTTAATAAATACTTATCTGGAAAGATATTGACCTGTCACTTCGTAAAATATGTGAAAATACTAGGCAGAAATCGGAATACCTGTACAACTGATGTTTCTAGGTACGTGAAGTATTAGGCCATTTGTCCCGTTAGTGCAATTAATGGGTTTATAAAGTAAGGTGCCGATGTTCTTATCTCCGCTAGATAGTGAGAACCAACGCTGACCTACATGTCGGCCAGCGAGGGGTAATTACCCATCCAGGTACTCCCAACTTATCTCCCAATATGCGTGGTTGTTAATTGCAAGTTAGTATGTGTGCGAGTGTAATAAGGGGAGAGAATAAGTCAAGGAAGAAGGAAAGCGCGTGCGTACCTGACCCGTTTGTTAGGGTACTGCTCCGGCATTTGTCTGGTAGCGAACAGAAAAACCACGGACTATTAAAACTATTAATCAGAACAGCTGACTGTTAGATTGCATTTCCTGTTAGCAGCTCAATTCGTCCTATAGCTCGATGACTTAGAAAAAAACATCATAGGGCCGCTTGCCTCGAGAGGCGTGGCGAAGCCATCCCCCACTACTCCCAAACAGGAGCTCCGTGCAACTCGAGGTCCGCTTGCAGCGATATCTGATTCGCTCTTGCAACAAGGTGCTCACGATGTTGACGGCGACGCTGTTATCATTTTCGCTTACGCAAGGGAGTCACTGCTTGTCATCCTTTGCTTGCCTTTCCTGACCACAATTTTCTTGATAGTTGACTCCGAAACTCCTGCCGATTTGCTGGTCATTTTTAAAACGTTCGTATTTGTTATATTGTATGCGTTTTCCATACGCCGGAAGTACCGTGTCGCTCGATACACTATCTCACGAACCTGGCCTCTCAACAGTCACCCTGGCGGCGCAACACGAAAATTCCGCAAAGCAACAAATCTGAGATCCACACCTTCGCACAACGGGAAGCGCCCACAAATAGCCCCTCTTCCAAGCGAGAAAAAAATCCAAATATCTATTGGTAAATGCACGTAAGGAAAAGGGAAGGAAGGTCATGTCTCACACCCAAAAGCCGTTCCACATGGCAGGATAAACAGAGCTACCAGCCTCTAACACACTAGGGTTTGGGACTGTAGTCAAGGTCAGGCTGCCTTGCCCCGCCCACTCAGGCGGAGGCGGCGGCTACTCACGCGAGGAAGTTGGGCCGCGAAGAGAGGGAACCCTCCCTTCTGCCACTTTTCGCGCATGCGCAGTCCAGTTTTGATTTAGTTGTCGAACTATAGCTACAAGGTTTTATTTGGTTCGGTTAAACTAGAATTAAAATATGTTTTCATATATTATCTATAATATATGGAATTAAAATTTACACACCGTGGATGTTTACGTTAGGCAACGTATTTTGTGCTTGTGATCTGTGTA